ACACACACACTCAGGTTTGTTTTTGTGAAAAGTGGGGACATCCCATAGGCGTAATTTTTCTACTGTACAGACCGTATATTCTATTGTCCTACACCAACCCTACCCCTAAACCTATCCCTCACAGGAAACTTTGTGCTATTTCAGATTTTCAATACACTCCATTCTGTGTGATTTATAAGCGTTTTGAAAAGTGGGGACATGGGGTAATGTCCTGAAAAGTCACCTTCTCCTTGTAATACCTATGTCATACCCTTGTCATTATACACATTTATGTCCTCATTTGTCACAAAAACGCGCGCGCACACACACACACACACACACACACACACAGGTTTGTTTTTGTGAAAAGTGGGGACATCCCATAGGCCTAATGTTTTTTCTACTGTACAGACCGTATATTCTATTGCTCTACACCAACCCTACCCCTAAACCTATCCCTCACAGGAAACTTTGTGCTATTTCAGATTTTCAGTACACTCCATTCTGTGTGATTTATAAGCGTTTTGAAAAGTGGGGACATGGGGTAATGTCCTGAAAAGTCACCTTCTCCTTGTAATACCTATGTTATACCTTTGTCATTATACAAATTTATGTCCTCATTTGTCACAAAAACGAGCACACACACACCGTCACACACACACTCACTCACACACACTCACACACATACTGTCACACACACACACACACACACACACACACTCAGTCACACACACACACACACACTCACAGTTAATAAAGAAATGTTACATGCTGGCCGGTTGAGCCGCTGTCAGTCAGGAACTGAGGGAAACTGGAGAAGAGCAGAGATAAGACAGACTCCTTCAACACGCTAATGACAAGGCGCGCGCGCATGCAAACACCATATCCTCACACGTGTTAAACTCTAATGATATACCATGAATGGCGATTCACAATATAAAAAAATAATATGCCACACACAGGACAGACGCAAATATGAGTTGGGAAAGCCATTTGATTGAATTCTAGTAATTGTTAAATAATTGCAATGCTCGGGCAAACCCCTAGAGAGTTGGTGTCGCTATAGAGTTTCTATAGAGGTCTACAGGTTTCGTAGAAAGATCAGTCGCTATAGAATTCGAATACTTTAAAGGGATAGTTCACCAAAAATGAAAATTACTCCATGATTTACTCACCTCAAGCCATCCTAGGTGTATTTGACTTTCTTCTTTCAGACAAATCCAATCGGAGTTATATTTAAAAACGTCCTGCTCTTCCAAGCTTTATAATGGCAGTGAATGGGTGTTATTTTTCAATAGTCCAAAAGAAGTCCAATAAAGCGCATCCATCTATCATAAAAACTGTCCCACACGGATGACGTATATTCTCATGAGCATATTCTCACCGGAGCTTACGCTACGCCTACGTCATCCATGTGGGACACTTTTTATGATGGATGGATGCGCTTTATTGGACTTCTTTTGGACTATTGAAAAATAACACCCATTCACTGCCATTATAAAGCTTGGAAGAGCAGGACATTTTTTAATATAACTCCGAATGGATTCGTCTGAAAGAAGAAATTCATATACACCTAGGATGGCTTGAGGGTGAGTAAATCATGGGGTAATTTTCATTTTTGGTGAACTATCACTTTAATGCTTGAGGATGAAACAGCTCAACACGAGAGCCGACGCAAACGCAATGACATCTGAAATAAAACGTCATCATGTTTTAAAGAATAGTGGCTTGATTAAGTGGTGGAAATATCGGATGATCAGCACAGAACGGAAACAAAACTCATTTTACAGCTGTAGTGTACAAACTCTACCACATAGGGATGTTTTAGATAACTAAAATAATTCACATGCTCACATTTCTTGAAAATATTTGTTTTTATATTATATTATAGGCCTAATAACTAATTGACCTCAAAAAGGGAATTCATGAGCAATAACTGCTTAATTTTTTCATATTATATTATATTATATTATTATAAAGAATTTAACTGTTCTGTGTGAAATTTTTTAAATAGAATTTCTTGTTAAGTATCCCACCACTGTAAAAATGTTTTCTCAGGTGACCTAAAATGTGTTACATCAAGGGTCAAACCAAATATAAATAGCACATTAAAGTTAAAAGTTACACTTTTTTTGTACAGCTCTGATATAAAGAATGTTTTTGCTCAGCTGAAATATGCGCCCAATAGAGAAAAGTTTTGCTCAGCAAGAAAAAAAATTAGAGGGAACATTGCACTAGAGGCTGCACTTTCTGCTCTCATAAAAGTACAGTTACTAGTGCTACATGCAGAACTCGAAACTTGCATTTAATATCCAACAACAAATAATTTAGCAATATTTCAGTCTGAATTATTGCGCTCACACGCCGTCTATTTGTGCATCTATCACCGCTCCATCAGTGTCTGTAAAGTCATGCAAACATTCACAGATAAAAATACTACTGTAAGATGCTAGTTACACACTGAGGAAAATGCATCTTAAATGCATTAAACACGCATCTAAAAGGAGGCCAAACGGCTTTAAACTACATGTTGCAACTTTATGATGATGTTATTTTTCAGATGCATTTGCAACAATGTACATCAATACAAACGGTACCGTCTCATCTCAAATCTTGTTTGAAAATATATAAATATATCTTATAAAGTCACTATACCGCCCATCCCATGTGTGCCGATCACTGTAATGGTACAAGCATTAAAATTAACACTCAAGAGCCAAATGAGAGTAAAAACTCAGCGCTGGTGAGTATCTGAAACAGTGCTACTCACCAGCCGGCCAATAACTTTTTTTTATTCCATCAGTGCTCGAGAATGCAATATGGTTTAGCTCAATTATCAGGTCAAAGACATATAACTATGTTATCTATGTGATCTTTTCACAGTTCACAGTAAATGCTGCTCCACATGAACTGCTGTGAGTTTGAGTCGCTTATAACGTGCATTTGAAAATGCAAAAACATCCAAACATCTTCCCTAGTTTGTAATGAGAAGCATTTATGAATCAAAAGAGAAGTTTGTGGTTTTCCGCTTAAATAAAGCTCTATGGTTTTTAATTAAATGAAATACATTACAGTTTCACAGCCAGTATTTGTTGAGATAGTGAATTGGTGGGTTTTTGTTAAATGTGAGCCAAAATCATCACAATTAAAAGAACCAAAGACTTAAACTACTTCAGTCTGTGTGCACTGAATTTATTTAATACACGAGTTTCACAATTTGAGTTGAATTACTGAAATAAATGAACTTTTCCACAACATTCTAATTTATTGAGATACACCTGAATATAGCTGGTAAATTTTCTTAAGTCACTGGCCAATGGCAGATGTGACAAAATGTTTTTTAGACTTTAATACGTTAAATCTCTCCCATCACAAATAAAAAAACACTCACACAGTAAAGAAGTGCGATCAATTCAACAGGTAAGAAATATAACAAAGCCATTTTTGGATGTCCAGTATATAATTTAATTAAATTTTTTTTTTAATTAGAAGCCAGCAAGTTTTAAAAGATTTTAAAAGTTGTAAATGTTTGACAGTTTTCAGTTTGAGATAGTTTTCAGTTTAAAATAGTTTGAAAGATTAAAGTCTGAATTTTGTTACCAGAGGTGGGACCAAGTCATTGTTTTGCAAGTCACAAGTAAGTCTCGAGTCTTTGCATTCAAGTCCCGAGTCAAGACAGACAAGTCCAAGTCGAGTTGCAAGTCCTCAGCTTTAAGATTCAAGTCTTAAACAAGTCATTAGTGCTTTTTGCCCAAATTAGTGTCTCAGTATTAATTACCATATCAAATTTTATATCAGGTATATCAGGAAGGCAGGTAGAATATTTGACATAGTTCAATTTCATGTGAGATGGGTGCCCCTATTCAAGTTACTCAAGTTCAATTTAGGGATTGTGCCAAAATAGGATGACTATTTTATTAGTAACAGAATAGCAAAGACAACATAATTTCATAGAAATAACAGCTGCAACATACTTTGCATGTGTGCATAAGAATAGCTATATGCTTCTAGGTGTTATATCTAAGCCAATGAGACATTATTTGGAACCTCAATGAAACCGTATGTGAGCTATGTGAGCGGAAACGCAGAAAGAACTGCTTTGAAAGAACTAGAAGAAATAACTGCAAGCAAGTGAGAGGAGTGAGAGGAAACATGCAATATGGATGCAGACAAACTCATGAAGACAATCATTCAAAAATGCTGTGCTACCATCCTTTATAACTAAGAG